ATCTTCCCTCCAGTCTTCGTCTTCCTCCTGCTTCTTCTTTGCCATGGCCAGAATCGAACCCAATTGGAGTACACTTCCTGAAGAACTCCTCTTCTCCATTGTAAAACTTCTCCCTACGCGAATCGATATCCTCCGTTGGCGCGCCGTTTGTCGCTCATTTCGCGCCACAATTGCTCATCCTCCAATACAATACCCATTCCCACACTCTATTCTAACCTCCAACGACTTCCTCAAAGGCCCAAACCCTAAAGAAAATGACGTCTTTACCCTCATGGTGTCCACTGTTTACGCCATCGAACCCCTCAATAAAGTCTCCAATATCCAGGGCGAAGAAACTCCCCAGACGTGGGTGGTCAGAGTCCAAGAACCAAACCCAGGTAGAGTCGTAATCATTGATCCAATTTCTGGTTCCAAATGTAAAGACTTGTCCGATCAGTTACCAAAGTCTTTAAATTTGTTGGATTATCGGGTTACTGAAATAACTAAATCATACATACTTGTATCAACTGGTGGAAAGCTTATTGTTACAAAATTGATATTTTCTTCGTTTCTTGATGAGAATGATGTTGAGTTTGCTGTTATGGCGAGCTGTCGTGGTAGTGAGGAACTGGGAATCTGGAGAAATGTAGACAAGAAATGGAGTGAAATCGACATGGAACTTAGATTTCTTGAGTTTTTTGAGGATGTTATTTATCATAATCGCAAGTTCTATGCTGTGCTCTCCAACGGCCGTACTGTAACTGTGGATTCTAAATCTTTGGTTGTTACTCGAGTTGCAGAAGAGCTGCAGTTCGTTTCGATATATTCGGAGCTATACTTGATGGAGCTGTATAATGATTTGTTTTTGATTGTTCAGTTACGGGAGTTCGGCGATGATTATGATGAGTATATTATCATGCTTTTTAAGCTTAATGAAGAGAACCAAAAATGGGTTCCAGTTGTGGATGGATTAGAGTTGGAATATAGAGTGTTGTTTATGGGTAAAAGTAGTTTTGCATTTTCGTTTTCGATTGAGGAGGTCGCGGGTTGTGTGTACTATGCAGGTTTTAGGTCGATTGCCCATTACCCCGGACAATATACTTGGATTTGTGACTGCAAAGATCATGTAGTTGGGGAACTCTCTGTTTTTCCAAGCTATTTGAACCTTTTCTGGCCTCCTCCAGCTTGGTTGAAGTAAGTCGTTTCCATTCCATTTATATCTATATGTATATGCATCTCGATTTCCACTCTCTGTGCGGTGCTCAATTTTCTATAGGTGTTGAAATGAAATGAGTCAATTCTCAAGTAAATTTTTTTGTGTTCCAACTCGCGTTCTGTTTCCGATTTTCTCCGCTTGCATATTTTAGAAATATGAATATTTGTTGCGAATGTCAAGAGCTTATTATGTATGATAATTTGCCAATAATGCTTGATTTATCTATAGAGTTTCTTCTTTGCCTGAAAGAGAAGAATATATTAGATATTCTCAAATGTGGAGACATTTGCTTGAAAAGCTAAAAGCAATATATGATTAGTAAACTTTTGTGTTCTTGTAATTTTTATCAGTAGGGGTTTTGGGGTCTGAGTTTTGTGTCGTTCCAATTTCCAAAGAGAAAATGGCTGATATGTGTATGTTTGTATATATGGTTGTTAACTTCAAAAACAGGCTCGAGCTTACTGGGGAGAAACAGAGAAGAGTCAGCAGAGATGATTGTGAGGAAACATCCCAAGCTTGAAGTTGTGATGGTTAAAGAAGGAAGCATGCTGGACATTTGAGGATATCATGGAATGGTGAAATGAATGCCGCCAATGGAGCAGAGATGGTGAAATGAATGCTTGACTATCTCCTCCTACTCAGTTTGCAACAATTGGTTGTTAGTTTTATGTGTTGTTTGTCTAAAACTCTTGGCGGTTTTTGTTAAGAGACAACTTAATATGCATTTTGCTCAGAATGGATATGGATATGGTGCATAACACCAATTTTCCCCAATTTCCTAATTTCAACTTATTTTCTCTTCTTTAGATTTAAATTCATTAAGTTATATTTTTTATACAAACGAATATTTAAAATAAAACAAATGGTTTCAATAATTACAAAAATTTAGAGTTAGGGTTTATATAAGATTCAATATTAAAATTTGAAACAAAAATATAAGATGTAGTATGACTGTATTTAAAAAATATAATATTTTTTCTAGTAATTTAAATTAAGAAGGTTAAATTTGGCAAAACAAAAAATAAATTTTAAAGTAGTGGGTGAAGAACTGAAGATGAATTAGGTGGGCGCTAAAAAGTAAAAAATAGAAGGTTAAAAAAAAGAGTTAATGATTTTTTCCCATCCGAATAATGACATAATGACACTTTCCCACCTCAAACTTTTAAAATATCACTTTACTACCCAAAGCTCAATTCTGTTTGTAAATTTCATTATAAAGAAGGGTAGAATGGTAAAAAAAATGTATTATAAGAAAGGGCAGGACGGTCAATGTCAATTGATGGATCTTCTTCTTCTTCATCTCCCCTCCTCTAATCACGATTGCCTTTTTTGCGTCGCTAGCCAATTTCGACATTTTTGCGACTCCCCACCACCACCATCTTGTTCTTGGTGCCTCCTTCATCAAAATCCATCTTCCACCATCCTCATCAAACCCACCATTGGAGTCCTCATGCGTGCGTCCCATTCTCCGAACTATTTTGGCCGAAATCTGACATTGTTGACTTTCCTTCATCCCTCCACCAGCTTCCCCATCCTCCATAGACCAAAACCCCCAACGTTTCAAAGCCTTTCCTCCCACGGTTCACCGGCCATTGCCTTGTTAGGATTTTGTGTTCTAAACGAAATTTCGGTGGCTAATGGCGGCTGAAATCCAATCCAACACCACCATTCGAACCACCGAACTCCACACTACAAAACCCTCCAAACCCCATCACCTGTTAGCCCGTTGATCGCTGGCCGAACTCGCCTCCATCGCCGTGATTGGGTTTTTATTTTCCTATGAAATTGGCTTCAATTTGATGTTTCTTTGTGGCTGTTTGGGCTTATTGAATGTTTAAGGAATGATTGTGTTCGGTTTCTGGGTTGTTTCCATTGCCAACGATAGCCATTTTATACTCTTTCATTAACGCACACCAAGTGCTTGACGAATTGCCCCACTCCAAGTGGTGTCGGCGGTTGAGGAGTGATTGTGTGTGAGGGGTGAGAGGGGTTTGCTGGGGGGACATTGATGAGTTGAATGGTGGTGATGGGGTCGATTTTCGGTGCTAGAATTGGCCGGAATTTGGGCTAAGGTGCATGAAACTTTGATTGCAATGGTCGACGATTGGGGGTTGATCTTCAGTCTTTACAGTGAATATCACTACTTTTAACTGAAACTGTTAATGGAATCTAATGTTTGGGTAGTAAACCGGTATTTTAAAAGTGTAAGGGTGGGAAAGTGTCATTACACCCCTAGTTAGTAAATACGGGTACGGCAAAAAAAGGGTACGGGAATTTTACAGGTATAATACAGCAAATAGTGAAAAATACGTTTATAAAAATTCGGCCATAAAATTCGGATACGGGAAAAATACAGTATGGATATATACGGGTTTAATACGGTATATTGTCAATAACACGTTTTGAAAAATACGGCAATATCAACCTTATTTTAACACTTTTATGGATTAATTATTAATGTATCTTTGCATTGACTTCAATTAAATCTTTGCTTTTGCTTAATCTTTTCTTTGCCTTAACAAATTCCCTGGCCTATGTCTTGTTCTAACTCGCCAGTAGAAAAGATTTTTTTTTTTTTTTTTTTTTTTTTTTTTTTTTTTTTTGTAATGGAGAAAAATTATTCTTAAATACCATAAAAATTTCCCTAGCAAATAAAAGTTAAATTATATCAAAATTTAAAAAAGACAGACATATTACATACTTTAATCACAAATTAAAANCCTCCCTCTCTCTTCTTCAATCAAATCATCTCTCAATGTCTCACACTCATTCGGAAGGTCAACTGCTTCTTTTAGAGACAATGACATCTGCTTTATAGGCTATTCTTTATGCCACTACTGTCCCTTCCTCAAACTTATTCTTCTCCCCCAAACACAAACACAAACAAATCTGGTGTTGAGTGTTGACACGTATACTAAAATCCACCACAAACACAAAACACCCATGACCCATCTTAAAAAACCCCCTCCCTCTCTCTTCTTCAATCAAATCATCTCTCAATGTCTCACACTCACCCACAAGGCCAACTGCTTCTTTTAGAGACAATGACATCTGCTTTACAGGCTATTCTTTCTGCCAATACTTTCCCTTCCTCAAACTTATTCTTCTCCCTCAAACACAAACACAAACACAAACCCATTAAAAATCTCAACCAGTTCGCTATCCAAGTTGAGGAAGGGAAAGTATTGGCAAAAAAGCTAAAAAGGTCGAAGAACTGAGGAAGAAAAGCTGAAAATGTCATGCGTCGAAGAACTGAGGAAGAAAGAAAAAGAGAAGAGATTTTGTTTAATTTTGAATTAAACCCCACTAAAACAACATCGTTTGGGGTGAGCAATGGGTTTTTTTTTCTTTTTTACAATAATTCACGAATTATACGCAAATAATTCGCGAATTATACGGATATTCATATTATACGCGTATAATTCGACAGTTTTTATAACATATGTTAAAACACATTTTATACGCGTATTTACTAACTAGGATTACACCATCATTGGGTGGGAAAAAGTCGTTAACTCTTAAAAAAAAAAAAAAAAAAAATTATGAAAAAAGATCTAAAAAATGGGGCAAAGCTATAGTACCCCTAAATTTTCAAAATTAACGGACCATGTGGTATGTTTGCAGTTCTTGCAAAGACACCCCATTACAGATACTATTTCAGCAAAACCTAACCTTCTCTTCGGTTTACTCTTCTTCTTTCTCCAGTTCTTCGTCCTTTCTAATGGGGGGAATCAAACCCTATTGAAGCAGAATTTCTGAAGACCTCCTCTTCTCCATCGTGAAACTTCTCCCAGCAGGAATCGATATGCTCCGTTTGCGCGCCGTCTGTCGTTCATTTCGCGCCACAATTCCTCTTCCTTCAGGACAATACCCATTCCCACACTCTATTCTAGCCACCACCGACTTCCTCGAAGGCCCGTTCCCAGATGAAGAAGACCACTTTGACTTCACTGTCTCCACTGTTTATGCCATCGAGCCCCTCAACAAAACCTCCCATACCCACGAAGAAGAAACTCCTCAAACGTGGGTGGTCAGAGTCCAAGAGCGAAACCCAGGTAGAGTCCGAATCATTGATCCAATTTTTGGTTCAGAATGTAAAGACTTGTCCGATCACTTACCAAAGTCTTTAAATTTGTTGGATTATCGGGTTACTGAAATAACTAAGTCATACCAACTTGTATCAACTGATGAACAGCATATTGTTGTGAAATTGACATTTTCATCGTCTCTTGATGAGAATGATGATGAGTTTGCTGTTATGGCGAGAGATAATGATATGAAAGAACTAGGAATCTGGAGAAATTTAGACAAGAAATGGAGTATAATCGACATGGGACTTCAATATCCTGAGGTCTTGGAGGATATTATTTATCATAATCACAAGTTTTATGCTGTGCTCCCCAAGGGCCATACTGTAACTGTGGATCCTAAATCTTTGGCTGTTACTGGAGTTGCAGAAAAGCTACAGTTGGATTGGGAATATTGGATGATATACTCGATCGCGCTGAATAATGATTTGTTTTTGATTGTTCAGTTCCAGGAGTACGATGATTATGATGAGTATAATATCGCAATTTTTAAGCTTAATGAAGAGAACCAAAAATGGGTTCCAGTTGTGGATGGATCAGAGTTGGAAGATAGAGTGTTGTTTGTGGGTAAAAGTAGTTGTGCATATTCGTTTTCGATGAAGGAGGTCGCGGGTTGTGTACTATGCAGGTTTTAGGTCGATTACCCATTACCCCGGAAAATATACTTTGATTTGTAACTGCAAAGATCATGTAGTTGGGAAACTCTCTGTTTTTCCAAGCTATTTGAACCTTTTCTGGCCTCCTCCAGCTTGGTTGAAGTAAACATTTCTCTTTTCTGGTCGTTTCCATTCCATTTCCACTTTCTCTGTGTTGCTCAATCTTCTATAGGTGTTGAAATGAAATGAAATCAGTCAATTATCAAGTATATTTTTCTGTGTTTTAACTCATGTGTTCTGTTCCTGATTTTCTCTGCTTGTATTTTTTAGAAATATGAATATTTGTTGCAAATGTGAAGAGCTTATTTTGTGTGATAATTTGCCAATAATGCTTGATTTATCTATAAAGTTTCTTCTTTGCCTGAAAGAGAAGTGTATATTAGATTTTCTCTAATGTGGAGACATTTGTTTGAAAAGCTAAAAGCAATATATGATTAGTAAAATTTTGTGTTCTTGTAATTTTGATCTGTAGAGGTTTTGGGGTCTTAATTTTGTGTCGTTCCGATTTCCGAAGAGAAAATGGCTGATATGTGTATGTTTGTATATATGGTTGTTAACTTCAAAGACAGGCAAGAGCTCACTGTCAATACTGGGGAGAAACAGAGAAGAGGCAGCGGAGATGATAGTGAGGAAACATCCCAAGCTTGATGCTATGATGGTTAAAGAAGGAAGCATAGTGAACATTTGCGGATATGGTTTGATTGTCAGTCGACAACCATGGAAGGGTGAAGCGAATGCCGCCAATCAAGCAGAGAATGGTGAAATGAATACTTGACTTTCTCTTCCTACTTAGTAAGCAACAATTGGTTGTTAGTTTGTATAAAAATCTTGGCGGTTTGATGTTTCAGGTTTTTGTTAAAAGACAACTTAATATGCATTTGTAAAGACAACTTAATTTGCTCAGAATGGATATGGATATGCACCATAACGCCAAATTCTTGGCAAAAATTGGCACAAGCTCATGGAGTTCAAAGAAAGTTCATGATGTATGTGTACTTTAGAAAATTCAGTAAATCATATATTATATAGTCAAAAGATTGTTTGAGTCGTAAGATCTTGGACAAGATGATTTTATTTTGCAAACAGAAAACGCACCAGAAAGATGCAACATTTTGAGGAGACAGGAATGTTGAGTACACAAATGGAAGATAGAATGTTGTTTGTGGGAGAAATTCGTTGTCCATATTCTCTTCGGTTAAGGAGTTCCCGAGCTCTTTAAAGAGGGCTGTGTTTATTAATTATTATGTAGGTGATAGTACAGATGATGGTTATCCATGCTAGGAGATCGTGCAGCAAAAAATATAAGTTCGAGATGAACAACATAAAAATAAGATTATACTATATAAAGAAACACGATATTTATATGGTTTGACATAATCTGTTTACATTCACAGATGATAGAAATTCACCGTAATTTCATGAACACGATATACAAAAATACACAATATCATAAACCCAATATATAAAACAAAACAAAAATAATTTTAGTTTTTAACCACGCTCAACCCAGTACCTAGAACAGGAAAGCGAGTCATAAATATCCCAACAATCCGGGACAAGGTACTTGGATTTCTGACTTAAAGAATAGTATGGTCAGGCGCCTCTCGAAATTACCAAGCTATTTAAGCGTTTTCTGTCCTCCACCAGCTTGATAAATTTTGTGTGTCTTAAGGTGCTCTGTTTCCGAAATTCTTTGGTTGCAGATTTTAGAAATTGAATACTTGTTACAAACCTCAAGAGCTGATTAAGTCCCATATTTTAACATTTTTTAACATGGTGTACTTCTTTGTTTTTCATTATCTTCTCTATATGCATCTTTGTAACTTTTTCAGGCTTAATATCACTTTTTATTTTGTTCATTTTTATACAATATCACGTAATAAAAGATGATTAACTAATTTTAAATTAAAAATAAATTTTTATCTAATTATTTTTTATCATATCACGTTATATGTATAGTATTACTTAAAAAAGTTTGCACATACTAAGTTTTCGAAAAAGAAAAAAATCTTCTTAAAACCCCTTAGTGACAAATTTGCAAGAGTTTCTCAGACCTTAAAACCCCATCCCATCAAGATTCAAGAAAAGCTGAACATTTATCTTGCCTTCAGTCTTCGTCTTCCTCCATCAAAGTTCAAGAAAAGCTAAACATTTATCTTGTCTTCAGTNAGGTTTGTTTGTATGGTTTTTCATTACTTTTTCTAAGTCAAGTTCATTCGAGTAAAAATTCATTCGCTTCCCAAAAAAATAAAAAAATAAAAAAATAAAAAAATAAAAAAATAAAAAAATAAAAATAATCGAAAAGGATTTGTTTTTGAAGAAACCTGTTTTTGCCGAACTTCGCTTCTGATCTCTCTCTGAGCCTCTATTTCGTTACCGAAGTGACGAATATTAATCGAAGAAGACTGATGAGGCGATGACTGAAGTGATGAGAGACTGATGACGAAGTGACGATGTGGCCGCGATCTGAGACTGAGAGATCAGAGATGAGATGTTCAGATGAGAGTGAGACTGTGAGAGGGAGGTGTGACCGTGATTCGTGATGAGTCTGATGACTGATGAGATGCGTGAGAGGGAGACGTGAGAGGGAGCCGTGACTGCGTGAGTGTAAACTGTGACTCTGTGAGAGGGATTCGTGATGACTGTGACTTTGTGAGAGGGAGGCGTCAGGCGTGAGAGGGAGGCGTGAGAGGGAGGCGTCAGGCGTGAGAGGGAGGCGTCAGGCGTGAACTGTGAAGTCTGTGATAAAAAATAAAAGACTTTTAGGGATTCATTCAGTTCAAAACAGAATAGAAACCTTGGCTTATACGGGTGCCCGCGGGTTCACCCGTATGACCCGTAATTTATTGGACCGGGTACGGGTACGGGTACGGGTCACATACCCTATATTTTTTACCCGGGTACGGACCGACCCGCGGGTCCATACCCGTTTTGCCAGGTCTAGGTAACGGTGAGCGGGCGGGGGTCGCGGGGGCAACGCCCCCGAGCCCGTAGGCGGTTTTGGGCTTTTCCGTGTATAACCACTGTAGGATTTCTTTTAAGTTATTTATTCCTTTTTGGGTTGGGCTTAAGAATAAGAATCCTTGTAAAACTAGGTTTAATCTCTTAAACCTAGTATATAAACATACTTTTCTCTTGTTATGTGTGAGAGAGCAATTCATTCATTGTAAACGAGAGAGATGAGACATATTGCAATAATATTGACTCAGTTGGACGTAACCCACATTGGGTGAACCAGGGTAAATCGCGCGTATTATTTTCTTTGTTTACTGTTTGTTTTGTTTTACTATTATTATTTTTGTTCCGGTTATTGTCTCTATTTCGTTCAGCAGGTTGTGTGTACTATGCAGGTTTTAGGTCGATTGCCCATTACCCCGGACAATATACTTGGATTTGTGACTGCAAAGATTCAGGTAGTTGGGGAACTCTCAGTTTTTCCAAGCTATTTGAACCTTTTCTGGCCTCCTCCAGCTTGGTTGAAGTAAAGATTTCTCTTTTCTAGTCGTTTCCATTCCATTTCCACTTTCTGTGTGTTGCTCAGTCTTCTATAGGTGTTGAAATGAAATGAAATCAGTCAATTATCAAGTAAATTTTTTTGTGTTCCAACTCGTGTTCTGTTTCTGATTTTCTCCGCTTGTATTTTTCAGAAATATGAATATTTGTTGCAAATGTCAAGAGCTAAATATGTATGATAATTTGCCAATAATGCTTGATTTATCTATAGAGTTTCTTCTTTGCCTGAAAGAGAAGAGTATATGAGATATTCGGAGACATTTGATTAGTAAAATTTTGCGCTTTTTAAGCTTAACGAAGAGAACCAAAAGTGGGTTCCAGTTGTGGATGGATTAGAGTTGGAAGATAGAGTGCTGTTTATGGGTGAAAGTAGTAGTGCATATTCGTTTCCGATTAAGGAGGTCGCGGGTTGTGTCAGTGTGTACTATGAAGATTTTAGCTCGATTGCCAATTACCCCGGACTGGGTACTTGGATTTGTGACTGCAAAAATCATGTAGTTGGGGAACTCTGTTTTTCCAGGCTATTTGAGCCTTTTCTGGCCGCCTCCAGCTTGGTTGAAGTAAACGTTTGTTTTTTCTACTCCTTTCCATTCGATTTATATCTATATGTATATGCATCTCGATTTCCACTTTCTATGTGTTGCTTAGTCTTCTATAGGTGTTTGAATGAAATGAAATCAGTCAATTCTCAAGTAAATTTTTCATAAATACACAAAATCTAAAAAAATGTTTTTCATGAAAGAAAAGTTATTTCTTTCCACTAAAATTATAATAATAAGTGTTTAAATCAAGGAAATAAATTTTTATTATAAAATTATTTAATGATATAGTAGTTAAAAATAATAATTTGTGTACTTTATCCATTTCTTACCCATGATTAATTGTGCTATTATGTGACACAAAGATAAACTCTTTTGTTTTTATATCTTATTAGTTTTCATGTGATTTCCAACTTTACCCTTCCATCTAATGGATTAGGCTACTGGCACTAATCTTTTGGATGAAAATGTCACTATGGTGATAACAATTGAGTATTTAATATCACTTATTTAAACATTGGAATCTAATTGTCACTTATACTATATATACATTATTAAACTCTGTTAAAATTAATGAAAAGCCTCAAATACCCTCATACATGTAACTAAAAGATGAATTTTCAATCTTTGCTATTTTCCTAGAAGAAAGGGGCATTTTTTTTAAAGTGAAAAATGGAAGGGGATTAATTGAATTTTCCGATGGCAGTGGGGGCATGAGCCCCCTCTTTGTACATTATATGTGCTAAGAGGGGGATTATCGGGTCAAAGAAATAAGTACATTATATGCATTTAAGTTTCCTCGTAGGGCAACTTCTTCTTTCTCTTCAAAAGTGGTTTTCACTAGTGTTGATGAGAATGATGATGGGTTAGCTGTAATGGGGAGGTTAGATGAAAAAAAGGTGGGAGTATGGAGAAATGTAGACCAGAAATGGACTAATGTAAAAACCTGGGCCTTCCGCATTCTTCTTCTTGTATTGGTGATTTTATATACCGTAATCACAAATTTTATGTTATGGTTTTTCCAAGTTGCAGCTGGACCAAAAGAAGTGATTCGGTGTATATGGTATTTGCACTTGTGATTTCGAGGAGTTTGTTTGCCTTTCACGAGAACAATTATTGTCTCCATTAACTGTGTGACTATTTGTATTACCATTAGTGTTGAATTATGACTATGTATTATCTCCCTTGAATCACCATTCTCTCAATTCACTGCTTGCATTTTGCTTCGCCTCTTCTTCCTCTTCTTCTTCTTTAGCAATTTGCAGCCATGGACACAATCACTCCCCGATTGGACCAGTCTTCCTTGACACCTCCTCACCTCAATAGCAAAACGTCTCCACACTCGAATCGACATTCTTCGTTTTCGCGCCGTTTGTCCCTCATTTCGAGCCTCAATTCCTCCTCCTCCAATACTATACCCATTCCCACAGTCCATCCTCACTACCACCGACTTCTTTAAACTCAGGGCGTCCGCTGTTTACGCCATTGAACTCCTCAACAGAATCTCCAATACCCCGGACGAAGACACTCCTCAAACGTGGGTGGCCAAAGTCCAGTTGTCAAACTCAGGTAGAGTCCGAATCATTGACCCAATGACTGGTAAAGATTGTAAATACTTCCCCGAGAAGTTCCCAACGTCTTTATATTTATTGGATTATCGGGTCACAGAAATAGGTAAATTATACAAACTTTACGCTGCTGTTGGATATGGTTTTTCAAAAGT